CCCAAATCCCTTCGATCCCCAACTGGGGGGTTACCTGGGGGTGTTCTGTTGGATGCTGGATCCCAGTGCAGGGTGCAGAGGGGGAAAAGGGGAGTACCGGGGTGGGGACACACGAGCTCCACTGCTGTTACTTACAGGAACTCATCAAGCTCAGCCTGCACCCCCTTAATGAGGTCTCTAATAGAGGGACGCCCCCCCCTTTCCCCATAGGAAAGGAAGGATCGAGCTTTGCAGAGGCTCAAAATCTGTGCCCCCCCCCCCCATTTTTGGTCCTCCCCCCAAGCTGTGGTCCCCGTCAGGTCCAAACCGAGGAGGAATCTGATGGAGGGGGGGGGGTGATGGGAAAGGCCTTCAAAATAATACCAGGATTCAGGGAATGGGGAGGAATTGGAGGGCTCCAGTGGGGAGAAGGGATGAGAGGAAGAAGAGGGAGGGATGGAGGGATGGATGGGAGGGAGGGAGGAAGGAGGAAAGGAAGGAAGGAAGGAAGGAAGGAAGGAAGGAAGGAAGGAAGGAAGGAAGGAAGGAAGGAAGGAAGGAAGGAAGGAAGGAAGGAAGGAAGGAAGGAAGGAAGGAAGGAAGGAAGGAAGGAAGGAAGGAAGGAAGGAAGGAAGGAAGGAAGGAAAAGGAAGGAAGGAAAAAAGAAGAAGAAGAAAAGGTGGAATAAATGAACTCAGGGATCGAGCTGTACTCGCCAAGCCCCCGAGTCTGGCAGCAAGGGACACCCCTCCTGTTTGCTGCCGGAGTTTGGGAGTCTGGTGAATGGGGGTGTCCCTGTTTCCTCCCCCACAACAGATCCCTCTTGTCCCCCGTCACCCCCAATGCACGCTGGGGGGAGATGGGAAGTGTCTTGCAACCCAAATCACTTCTATAAAAGTCAAAGCCAGCCTCAGCCTCACGCTGCTGCCTCCTCCGAGTCCTGTTTCGTTCTTTTCCCTAAACCTACGGGAAATAAAATAGCATTTTTCCAAGCGGGAAGAGACCTCCCCCCACCCACCCCTTTCCCAAACTAACTCCAGCAAACTCAATTCCTGCCCTGGGCGTGAATAAATATCGGAGGTCAACAGTAGCCGCTCTCCTTTCCCTGGTGGTTACTTTACTGCTGAGAGGGAATCAGAGGAATCTGCTAAGTGCCAAGAAAACATTCAAATATCTCGGTGTCTGTTTATGTAAGTGCGTGTGTCTGTGTGCCCCCCCCACCCCTTGGACCGCACATCCATACATCCATACCCATCCACACACATCCAGGCGCTGCATCCCTGTGTGGGGAATAGCCATACGCACACAGGCACAGCTCAAGGAGGAAGAGAAGGTCTAATAAATGCTATCGAGATGGAAATAAATTGGGGGGTGTTTAATTCCTGGTCAAACCGTGTTGTTTTGGCTGTAAAGAGGAGGGAAGAGTTGGGATAAGGCGATGATAGAGGATGCATCCAGAGGGAAAGTGGTTGGGGTGCTTGTTTCCTTTCTTCCTGCAAGCAGGGAAGGTGGATGGGGAGGATGGATATTCCCAGTTCCTGTTGGGAAAAGGGGTCGCGACTGCCGGGGATGAGAAAAATCGCAAATCAAGGGGAAGAAAAAGAGAAGGAAAAGGGAGGGGAACGAAACAGAAATCGATAACTCGGGATTCAACTCTTGACCGGGAAAACCCAGCTCAAAACATCATTTGATAGCAACGCGCTCGGAGGAGTGGATAATAAATCAATAAAATCAATCCATCAATAGGGTCTGCAGGGACAGGCCGGGGGAAAATGGGAGGTGATGGGCAGAAACTCCCTTCCCCACCTCGGGCAGAAGACAAAAAGGACCCCGAGGATGGGATGGAAACATCGGGTTGCACCTATTCCAGACGGATTTCCTCCGGCCACCCTCCAATAATCCCTGTTTTTTCCCAGCACCCAGCTGGATGCGAGGAAATTCTATTCCCCACAGTCATTCTCTGGACTTTATTATTTGTTTCTCCCGTCCAATTACGCAGAAAATCATTTTTTTTGCTGTTACGAAGAGCGGTTTCTTATCAGCGCTGCATTGTTTTAATCCCGTCATTCACACAACAGAGGGCTAGGGAGGGATTTTATGGCTATTCCCGGTCACACATAGGGACGCGAGCAGCCTCCACGTTCCAATTCAGTGGTATCTGAGCGAAAAACCCCAAATATCCGGAAGAAAAGGCTCCAACCCGGCATTTATTTCTCATGCCCCAACATCCATCACCCGGAGGAAGAGGTCGGAGGGGGAAGAAAAAGCCGAGGTTTACATCGGACGCCAAGAACTTTCTTCTTTCTCCCCAATTCCGTGTCCCCCCCCCCCCCTTCTCCCCCCAGTGTTTCAGTCACAACCAGCCTCACACGCAGGAGAGCATCCCCTTCACCTCCAGCCAGCTCTTGGGGTCCCCCCAAATCCCTGCTTCCCGTTCGGATGCCTCCAGGTTTTGAGCGATTTCGGGTTATCCCAAAGCACGTTATTTAAATGAGCCTTCCAAGGACTTTCCAGGGGGTTTGGGGTCATGGGATGATGGGATCCAGAGGTTCCGGGAGATCCCCAAAAAACCTCTGCGTGTTCCCAGCTCCACAAGCTTGGAGCTGCCCCATTTTTTTGCACCTTTTCCCACTATGAACGACCTTAATAAATGGGAGAATTCTAATTTTTCAGCATTTTCCCCTTTTCCAAGCCCTCAGGGCCTGCACAATGCCGGGGGGGGGGCGAGAAGAAGATGCTAAGACCCCAGGGACAACACCCCCCCCCCCAATAAGAGCCCTCAAGTGGGGACAGTGTCTTTATCCCACAATCGTGGGGACATCTTGGTGCTCAGTGGGGGGACGTGAACAAAATACTGATGATTTCTCATGATATAAGGGCCCTATAGAGCCCTATAGATCCCCATCGCTCTATAGGGCTTAGGTAGATGGATCAGCTGAAGGGGGTTTGGGAGCACATTCCTAATGGGATTAAGGGGCAAAATTAATCTCCATCTCTGTGATGGAGACTAAAACGTGACCCCGGCCCTGGTGCCAACAGTGGGGTGCTAAACGGGACAGTAAGGGCTGGGGGGGGGGTCGCAAGGCCTCTGCAGAAGAGCAGCCTTCCCCCACCACTGACACCCACCATCGGACCATGGCAAACCCCCCCCCGGACACCCCCAAATGAGGGTCCCTGAATAAGGCACTTGGAGAAAGGGTTCAAATCCCCACACTGGGTCCCCTGCCAAAAGGAGAAGAGGTCCCTCAGGGCTGCTGCCTGGTTTTTGGGGTGGGGGGGGGTGAGGTTGCGCCCCTGAAGGCTCTGAAGAGGAAAGGACTGGGGGGTCCCGAGGTGTTTCCCTATGTCATTGCCTCTTATTCCATCCTATCCCCAAAGGTTGTGCCTGCACAGTGGGGCACAACACCCCAAGATCCCTGAGGTGCAGGGGGGGGGGGTCCAGCCTTGGCTGCAAGGGGGTCCCCATCCCTTCAAAGAAGCTTCTGGGAGGGGTTTAGCACCCACAAAGCGCCCCTCCAGCACCCACAAAGGAGTTTGCACACACGGATATGTGGGTGTTTGCATGCGTGAAAGGCCTTGCATGCGCCCATGCACTTGTGAGAACACGTGCGCGCATTCGCATGCCTGCTGCGTGCTGCACAGGTGGGCGCACGCGTGTGTGTTTGCACATGTGTCCATGCCTATGTGGGTGCATTCGCATGCTGGCCCGTGTGCACGCACATGTGTGCACATACATGGGTGGGCTTGTGCATGGGTGAACACGCATGTGCATTCCCGAGTGGAATTCCCTCCAGACAACCCCTATCACAGTGGGAATCTGCAGCCTCTGCTCCCTGTGCTGCACCCCCCAATACAACTCCTATGTCCCCCCCCCCACCGTAGCATGCCCCCTAAGTGCCAGGCCTGGGATAACACCAGGATGAGGCCTTGTGGAATGGGGAGGGGGGGGGCACAAAGCTAAGCATCTCTTCACCCCCAGGAGAACAATAGAGGCCCGGCAATTGTCTAGATGGGATGGGAAGGGGGTGTCCCATTGTTTCCAATGGGTCACCCTCTTCATGGGGGGCACTCTGGGGTGGGAGTTCCCAGTTCCCAGCCAGTTGCACTCCCCATTGCCCCCTCAACCCGGTTCCTTGGGGAGGTTTGATCCTGAAGGCCCTCCCGGGGTACAAGGTGGGTGTCCCAGCACCCCAAGGGGGTCCCTGGAGGGGGTCCCCCACTCCAACTGCCACACAGACCAGAGAGATGCCCCTTTCCCATACGTGACCTCCAACTTGAGACACCCCCCACTTCACCACCACCCCCCTTAAGGCGATGATGGGGGGGAATCCACCTTCTTCACAGATCCTCTTCCTCCCACCATGGGCTCCCCCACGAGTGTCATTGGGTCCCCCCGTGAGTGTCATAGGGTCCCTCACGGAGCCATCATTCCCCCCCATCACCTGCCCGCCCCCCCCACCCCATGCAGGCCCCTTCTCTCTCCATGGACCAATTTCTATGTCTCCCCCTTTATTTATTTCAGTTATTTTCCCTTCTTCCCATTGCAAATCCCATCTCTCCCCAAACACAAATAGCACACACCCCCCCCCCCAAAACAACAACCCAACCCCAACAAACAACTCAGGGATGAAACTTAGGGATGCTCCCAGCCTACCCTTAGGCTGTACTCTGAAGGGAAGGGGGCCGCGCTTGGGGATGAGCGGGTTACCAGTCAAACCAGTAACACATAGACTCGCCTTGGCCTTATCTCCTCTCCAGCAGCCCTGGGGATGCGAGGATGAGGGGGGGAGCGGAGATTGCTGCAGGATAAGATCCTCGCCTGCAGCATTCCCCTTTGGAAAATTCACATTCCAGCTCGCACGCCATCCCCCCCCCCCCCCTTTCTCCCCGTTTTCCCACGCAAAAAGGGGATTTCAGAAAGGTTTCCTAAGAGAGGCTGAGAAATGGGAAATCACTGAAATAGGTGGGGAAAAAAATACTAAAGAAAGGGAATAAAAGGAGTTTGGAAGAAGCAAACTTACGCGGGAGGTGCTGCTCCGGCCGCCGCGCTCCGCACTAAAGCGCCTTGTCCCACTGTCCCAGCATTAAACAGCTCTAGCAGCTGCGATGGTGGACAGTTAAGATTATATATGATGTAAATATATTGTGGGTTTGTCAGCTCCCCCAAACCATAAAACTTAGTTTAATGACATCACGTGCTCCCTGAGAGCCATTCAGGGCTTTTGCTTAGGGCCATCCACATAAATAACCTTCAAAAGTTTTAAACTACTAAATTCGCATAGAAGGCATGAGTATTTCTGCTAATGTTCTGGTGTTCCCGGTGAAACTAAAAGAGCTTTGCTTTCCTCGAGCCAAAAAAAAAACCAAAAACCCATGCAAAACAAAGGAAAACAAAATAATATCATGGATTTTTTACATATATATATATATATAAAAAGAAAAGGAACTTTGGTTGGTTTGTTGTTTTTCTTTTTGGGCCATTTTAAGTTCTCACGGGGTTGACACGGATGGCGGGGCAAGGTAAGTCCTTTTCTATTTCCTTCTTGAGTCTTTGCGAAGGGATCGAGCAGCCGAGAGGGGAAATCAAAAGGCGAATCCCAGGCAGCACCAGCAACAACATCCACCAAACACCCAGCACCCCCCAGATAAATGTCCCTTAGAGGAGGGGGGGGTGGTGTGTGGGGTGTGAGGGGTGCAGAGACCCCCCCTGACCCCTCTCTCCCCCCCTCCCCGGGGCAGGAGAAGCCCGTAATTAATCATAAGTAGCCGCACTCCGCTCCGCAGGGTGGAAACGTGCAAGTTTGAGGTTTAAAGTGGGGGTTTAGGGGGTGTTTTGGGGCTGGTTTGGGGTTTCCCCCCTTGCCCTGGCAGCTGAAACACGCGTGGTCTGGAGCTGGTTAACCCTTGCCTTGACGATCCCGAGCTGCCTTGACAGCTTCGCGGTGAAAAAGGCTGAAGGGAAAAGGTGTTAAAGAGTGCGAAATGTAATCAGAATCCAAGATAATAACCCAGAGACGCTGCAGTCATCCCGGGGAGAGGGAAGGGAAGACGTTGCTTAAGAGAAAATTGAACGGAATAACGAGCAATTACCAGCACACGCCAAGAGGGTTTTGTGCCTGAGCAACCAGGCAAGAGATTTACACAGCGTGGGGAAGGAATAAAACCCGGAATATAGATAATGGTCAGAAAAAGAAGAGATGATTGGGATGGTTCCCCAGCCCCACCGAAATCACGCCAGGCCCTCCACGAGTGGGCAAGCACTGGTGTACAAGCAGCAGAGAAATACGCGAGGGGAACCTTGCTTGCTTTTGCAGTATTTCACCCCAAATGACAGTGGAGAAGGGGGGGGGGGGAAATGGGTGAAAAAGAGGTGTTTTTTTTTCACTGTTAAGCGACACTCCAATGGAACATCTTTACAGCTCGCAACTCGCCAAGCAACCAGACCCCCACCAACCAAGGGTACCAACCATTAAACGAAGCCCCCGGAGCTGGGAGGGGTGCCCCACTTGAGCACGCTGTGCTAATTGTACCCCTAAAAAGCCCCCCCGAGCCGCTGCTGGCAGCAGCAAACTTTTGTTTTGCCGGGTCAGGAAATTGTTCCGTTGTTTCCCGTGTGTAAAGGAAATCCTATAAAGTTTTATGGGGCTTCTTGGCTTCTCCCGGCGTTTGTTTTCGCCCGTAAAGAGCTGCGAGACACGGGAGGAGCCACCCCGCTTGTCTGGGAAAGAGAACATATAGGTTGAGCCCTATGCAAATCTCAGCTCGTAGAGACACCATAGACGCACCTCTCGGTACACGAGTGGGTTCGGAGGGGGTCCCCCCACCCTCTTCCTCTTCCTCCTCCTCCTTTAGACCCTCCACGATGGGGTTTTTGTGTGGTTTGGGTTGCTTTTTTTCCCCTCAGCCCCGCGCCTCTGCCATATGGCTGGAGGTACGGAGGAGTCCATATGGACCCAAGTGTTAGCTCCCGGGATGTGTGGATACCCTATGGAAGTGTGTTTCCACCCCAGAGGTAGAGCCCATGTGTTCTGCATTAGGCCCCTCCACCTTAGCAGAGACAGAAAATAATAGATACGTATCTGTATTAATATATATATAAACTCAGATATATTTCTAAAATTATATATATAAATAGTATATGAAATAATATATAATGCTATATTAAAATAAAATATAATTTATATTAAGTAATACCTGTAGATCTTAAAAAGCAATATAGATATACTTAAAAGCCGAGAAGAGGGGTGCCCCTCTTCTCTCCCTGCAACCTCCTTAAGGGGTGGGATGATGATGGGGCCAACAGGGCCTGGTGCCATCACCCAATAGAGTCCGCCACCCCAATCACCTCCAGTCAAACGCTGGGACCTCCTCCTCGCATTCAGGTGCTGCCCCGGTGGAAGATTTAGGGGGCAAAAGCGATTTTACCCCAAGTATCGGGGGGAAGAGAGAGGGGGAGGGGAGAGAAGCAAGGAGAGAAGGTCATTTTAATCCGATATTCCGATTTAAATGCCATCTGCCATGCGAGGAGCGCAGCCTGCAATGGAAACCCGCAGCTAAATAAAGGCAGATAGACGAGTCCGAGCTGGGACAGGGAGCAGCTCACCTTCCCCAGGGCCCAGCCAGCGCTATAATTAAATCCCCTTTCCCCCCCTTTTCCCAATACTCTGGGAAATAGGAAAAGCAGCACCTACCTTTTCCAGGGTGGGAGGAGAAGGATGCTCTAAGCTCAAGCATCCCTTCCCCCTCCCTGGAAGCTGCTTTGCTTTAAAACCACGACCTGATAACACTTTCAAAGCAACGCTTTGCCCAAAGCAAAGCTGCCCCAGGGCAGGGCGAAGGAGCACGGAAATCTCTGCCCGACTTTTGGAGCGTTCACCGTTTATTCCATATGAGCAAACGAGAGGTTTCATCGCCCTTTCCCAGGCGAAACGACAACTCATAAATACACCGCGTACACCATCGGGGAGGGTTCGGAAGGAAAAGAGGCTCCTGCGGTGGGACTGAATTTAGACAGAGATGTACAAATCGGGGTTTCGCCTTGGGTGCGTTTGGTTTCGTGTTTAATTATAGAGCTTAGCATTTAGCAGATCCACATGAATTACGCAACAAATAAATACACAATAATATGAAGTCCAGAGGGTTGGGGGTTTTTCCCTCCCCCCCCCACCCCCCTCCCACCCCCCAATGCTGCATTTTCCTGCCCGGAGATTTCAGAGGATCCGTGCAAATCAGTGTCCATCGTGTTCCCCCCCCCCCCCCAGTCCTTATCCCCCTCCTAAATCTATTCATTTCTTTTATATGCAAATAGTAATAAAATGATGCCATCAGTGTCCCAAGGGAAGCGCAAACGCACCCCCACACACACCCCAGCCCCTTTGCGGGGTTCAGAGATGCTTTTTAGGGGTTCCCAGCCTCAGCTGAGGGCAATGCTTCCCCTCCCGAGCAGAGAGGGGAAAACCAGGGGCCAGAGCATCTTCCCTGCGCAATTCCCAGCAAAGCGAGCAGCGGTTTCCTTCTCCCATCAGGGCTAGAGGAGAGCGAAGCCGGGACTTTAAAAACTCACCGGGTTTAGGGCTTTTTATCCCTCCCCTTTTCCCTTTTTTGCCCTTTTTCACCAGCTCCTTTCTCATTTTCCCTCTGAAAATCGCGATTTTTAGAGCTGAGAGGACACCACCAGCCACCCCGCGGATTCCTCTTGAAGCTTTTTTGGTTATATTGCCCTTTTCTTGGCAATTCCCCCCCAAAAAACCCAGCGCACAGGTTAGGACACTTAGTAGCAACCTAAGGAGCCATACACTAAATCTTTGCATGAAGCTAACAGCGGGGTTGGAGTTTTCCCCCCTCCCTCCTTATTTTTGCATACTAATAAGAGATCTCCTTTGTCTGAGGGATGCGTGAGGGTAAGGACCAGAGTCCAACAGCAGCTCCCTCCCTCCCCACCCCAAAAAATCAAAGTTTCCACCAGAAGTGATGGGAAAAGGGGGGGGGAAAGGCGAAAAAAAGCATCAACAAGGGAAAAACCGAATCAAATCAAAGCAAGGACACCCCCCCCCCCCATCTTCTGCAATCCCACCTAAAGAGCCTCTTTGCTTTTCAACTTGGAATCTTTCTTCCACTTCATCCTCCGGTTTTGAAACCAGATTTTGATTTGCCTCTCGTTCAGGCAGAGGTTGTTGGCGATCTCAATGCGCCTCCGCCGCGTCAGGTATCTGTTAAAATGAAACTCTTTCTCTAGTTCCAGAGTTTGGTAGCGGGTGTAGCTGGTGCGGGAGCGTTTCCCATCCGTTTCTGAAGGGGGGGAAAAGACATAAGAATAAAGGGCAGACACCGCATGGAAAAGCGAAGCAATCTGGGGTGGCTTTTAAATCGGTTTATTTATGGTTTCTTTATACGGCAAAACCCGGTTACAAATCTAGAAGGTACAGAAGTTTGCTGCGGGCACGCAGGGAGTGGAGCAGCCTCAAATCCTTCATCCCCCAACACCTTCAGCCCCCCCAAGTCTTCCCCTTTCCACCTCCCAAAGCCCGGATCAAACGCATGTAGATGAGCCAGAAGTGAACCTGTTTCCTCTCGGACAATAAGGAAGTGGACAAAGGAGGGAAATATCTTTTCTTGGGGATCTTGTCTTTTTATTCCACCCCCCCCTCCCCTCGCAGCCCTGGGAAGGTGAAGGGGGAAAATCTCTCCAGGCTTTCCCTTCACCTTCGCTTCTGGTGCCTCTTCTTTTTTAAAGCTCACCCTCAAAGAACATGTGTATTTCCAGTTATTTTTAACCCCCCCTTCCCCAAAAAAATGGAATATTGCCTTTTATACACGTTTTGTTTCTATGATCCAATTATGCCGTCATAAATTTGGGCGTCTATAGCCTCTAAGCCTTTTAGTGGACAGTTTTACGAGCAATTGATGCCTTAGTCGTAAAATTTACGACCTCAGGTTTTTTATTATTTGCCCCGTATGGCCTATAAAAACCCAAGGCAAGGGGAAAAAAAAATAAAAAAAGGGGGGAAAAAAAATATATAAGAAAAAAAAAAAAGATCCTGTGAAACAAAAAATCAAGAAGTGAAAGTTTTACCATGGCTCATGTGCAGTTTGGTCATCCAGGGGTAGATTTGTGGAGGTTGGTGCTGCTGCTGCAGTTGGGGTCCTCCTTGCTGTGCTGTTTGCACCGGCTCGGCTTTGATTTCACCCGAGCTCTTAGATCTCTCCTCCAGCGCCGGGTTAGCGCTCTTCTGGTTGTAAATCCCGGGATTTAGGGATGCTTGCTCGTCTCTGGCTAAAGGATGCCCTGAAGAACCCATGACCGTGCAAGAAGGTCGCTCGGGGTTAGCTCGGGGGGCTGCAGACATATCCGAGCCCAGGGAGGCGGCAGCCCCGGCGGAGGGGAGGGCGATGCTCGGGTCCGAGCCGCTGCCGCGGTACCTGGGCGGCGGGACCCCCGGCACACTTCCATAATTTCCATAACTTTGCATGGCATAGGCAGGAACGGGGGGACTTTGCTTATAAAACGAATTGGCGACGTAAGAACTCATGGCGGAGGAGGGGAGGCAAAAGAAATAATAAAAAAGAGGGGGGGGGAATTTGGGGAGGGGGATCTTTTCCCTCTTCTTTTCCTCTTTTTTTTTCCTTTTTTCCTCTTTTTTTTTTTAATTTTCTTCCTTTTTTCTTCTCTTGTTTTTTCCTCTTTTCCTCTCCTTTTCACCTTCGATATTTTTAGACTTTTTCCCCCTCTTTTTTCTTCTCTTTCCCTTTCTCTTCTCCTTCCCTTTCCTCTTTTCCCCCTTCTCTCTTTTTTTCCTCTTTTTCTAATCCTTGTTTTACTCTTTTCCCCCTTTTTTCCTCCTCTTTTTTTCCCTTCTTTTTTTTTTTTTTCCTCTCCCCCCCCCTTTTTTTTTCTTTTTTTTTTTTCCCAACCGCTTTGATTTAGGGTGATTTGTGTCCCTTTGAAGTTCAGGGGTGGGGGGGCCGCGTTTTTTGTTCCTCCTAAAGTGCAGAATTTATAGGTGGGGGGATTCTTCCCTTCTTTTTTTTTTTCACCCCCCCTCCGGTTCTCTCCGCGCTGCCCAAATATGGGATATTTAAGTGGCGTCACGTGACGGCGCCGGCCACTCATCCATTTCCCGTGATGACCCCGGGGCGGGTTATCGATGGGCGCCCGCGGAAGGCGCCGGGGGTGCGCGGGGGAGCGCGGGCGGAGCGCGCCGCGGGACGGCGAGGCGGCAGCGGCACCTAGCGCTGCTCCGCGGCACCGCACCGCTCCGCGCCCCCCCGCGGAGGGAGGGAGGGAGGGTGGGTGGTTGGTTGGGGGGGGGGGGGGGGGAAGTTTGGGGGGCGGGGGGGGGGGGGGGGGTAGAGCGCAGGCTGCCTCCGAGCTCCCTCCGCGCAACTCTTTGAAACCCTTTTTAAATAGACCGCGATTCCTGCGCGCGTTTTTTTTGCGCGCTTCTTCCGTCTCAAAATAGCAGCTGTAAGGGAAAATAAACTCCCCTTTTTTTTTTTCTTTTTTTTTTTTTTTGGTGTTTTCGTTTATTTTTGCCTCTCTTGTCCGTGCTGCAGCCAGGAGGGGAGGCAGAAGCAGCGCGTTCCCTCCGCGGCATCGCGGATCCCTTATATTTGAAATGAATTCATTCTCAACCGCTGGCTGGGCAGGAGGCAGCGCAAATCCCCGCGCTGTTTGCCGAGCTTTTGGGGCACGGTGGCGGCCGGGGACGCTCCCGAGGGTTCCGCAGGGGCTGCTTCTTGGATGCGCCAAAGTTTACATTCCTGTTACCTTTCCCCCCCCCTCCCCTTTCTGTTTTTGGGCGATTTATTGCTGCCAGAAGCCTGGATCTTCCTTGTCTGCTGCTGCCTGGAGAAACCAGCCCCTCTCTTCAAAGGGCACGGCGGAGGGGAAATAAATACCTTCAAATCTGTATTTCCAGCCCTCCCTTCTGCTGCGGATTGGGGAGGGTGTGTGTGTGGGGGGGGGGGGGTGAAGGGAGGACGGGTCCCCCCCCCCAGTCCGCTCTGCGCTTTGCCCCGCGGACCTGAGTGCGGTTTCTTTCTATTCCGTCTCCATTCACCAGCCAGAGAATGCCTTGAATGCGCTGGGTGTTACATATCGCCTTCCTCCTTGCTATAGGCGCTGAATTACATACGTGTGGCTCTGGAGATATGTTTGAGTTTGTCTTTTCTTTTTTTTTTTCCCCCATTTCTTTTTTTTTTTGTCCTTTTTTCCTTTCATTCCAACTGGTTTACACTCAGGGAGCCTCCTGCTCCCTGCCCAGGTCGTTACCCTCTTGCAAAACGCTCTTGGCTGCTGCTCGTTGCTGCTGTTTGCTTGTTTTCTTCCCTTTCAACAGACATTTTATGGGGTGTTTTTTTTGCCGTCTTTCCTGCGCCTTGCAAAAATCGCCTGCACATTCCAGGCTGGAGACGAGCAAAGGATGGGCTGAAAAACCTCCCCAGGCTGCTTTTTTTTTTGGTTGTTGGGTTTTTTTCCTTCTTTTTTTTTTCTTTCTTTCTCCTTTTTTTTTATGTTTTTTTTTTTTCCTGGTTATGGCCACTTAGCACCAAATCCTGGTTGTTTCATTCAAAATATCTCGAAGGGAACTAAGTTGCTTCCAGGGAAATATCACCCCTGGCTATGTGCTACCTATTGAACAGCCCAATAAATATGAGAGCAGTGACAAAGAGGCGAGAGAAACGCAGATTTCTTTCATCCAGCCTTCGCAATGGTTTATCCGAGCCTGCGATCCACAGCAGCAGGGTTTGTTTCCCAGCGTTATATCCACAATTTCCGTTCTCCTAAGGATGACTTTCTGGATTAAAGTAACTCCCCCCCCCCCCCCCGGAAAGGTTTATTGGGTCGAAATCAGTCGGGGGAGAGGAGGGAGGCGCGGAGGTGGGGGGGGAGATGTGGGTCCTTCCCCAGAGCTGGGGGAATCTCAGCTGCGTAGAGCTCAGATGAAATCAAAATAGCCATAATAAAAAAAAGAAGCAGAACCTTTGACCTGGTGTTTGACTGAGGAGGGTGCAATAAGAAATATATACTGGTTTGAACTTTGGAAATCCATTTTTAATCATGACGCGAGAGGTATGGCATAGATTCCTGATGCCACCGAACAATACAGTAACAAGACCAATTCAAGGAGACAAAGCAAAATGTATTTCCCCCACACCCCCCCTTTTTTCTTTCTTTTTTTTTTGGGGGGGGGGAATACTCTTGAAAGAGAGAGGGACGAAGGAGGGAGGAAAAGGAGAGAGGGAGCTGATGCTTGCTTTTTCAGGAACAACACACAGAAGATAAGTGAACTTTCTAACAGGCTGTTCTCAACACGCAAGGTTTCGACTGAAGCTCAGAGGCCATTCTATAAACTTTAAAAATAATATTCAGCTTTTATTAAATACTCAACATAGTCCTCTGGACATGACCTTTGTACATGAGGGTGTAACACAAGAATTGATTTAATTCTCCTTTTTTTTTTTTGTCTCTTTTATTATTTCTTTATTATTTTTTTTCCTTCCTTTTCTACCGCTATAGAACTCCATTCACTTTATACCGTGGAACATTACAGTGCTAAACATAAATATAAATACAGGTACCACAAACACAGTTAAAAATATTCACACAGAAACTGTCACAGTTTGTAGTATGCAGCGATGAGCCCAGGTATCTGCTTAAATACAAGGAGGATGCTCTTGAAAATGCGATATTTAGGTGGAAAAGAGCTTTTGGCAGGGAAAATCTGATTTTTCACCAGGGGAGGAAGAGCTGCTCTGCCTGGGGGGGAAAGAGAAGCGACTGGGCAGGGGCCGACCCGGCGCAGCGGAGGGTGGATGCCCAATTTTTTTTTGGGGGGGGGGTGGTGGTGGTGGAAGGAAGGGATGGGAGAGGAGGAGGAGGAGGAGAAGGGGGGTGTGGAGCGTGTGCGGCTTGAAACAGTCTTATCCCGAGATAGATAAATAGGCGATGGCGAGATGGGTGTGCGGGGGATGGGGTCACTGGGAGGGGGCTGTGTAGCGAGGGGGGGGGTGTCCACATTTCCACCTTAGACCTTAATTTTTTAACACCCCCCCATTAATATTATTTTTTTAATAATTTTTCTCCTTTTTTTTTCCTTTTTTTTTTTCCTTTTTTTTTTTTTTTTTTTAACGTAGCCAAACATTGTGCCAGTGATAAATACGGGTCTGGAGGGGGGGGTTGGAGGGGAGTGTGTGTGTGTGGGGGGGTGTCCTGCCGCCGAGCTGTCACTTTTTCACTCCTTCTGCTTCTCCTCCTCTGTCTCTTCTCGCTTCTCCTCCTTGGCCAAGCTGTCGGCGGCTGCGGCGGCTGCCCCCCCCCCCGCCCCGGAGAGGGTTGAACTCAAATTACTCTCTTTTTTCCATTTCATCCTCCGGTTTTGGAACCAGATTTTGATCTGCCGCTCCGTCAGGCACAGAGCGTTGGCGATCTCGATCCGCCTTCGCCGGGTCAGGTACCGGTTGAAGTGAAATTCCTTCTCCAGCTCCAAGGTTTGATAACGGGAATAAATCTGGCGGCCCCGCCGGCGGTCGGCCCCGTAGCCCACTCCTAGGGATGCCGAGACAAAACAGACTAAAAATCGTCAGCCCGGGAGAACGCGGAGGGCGGAGGGGGGGGGGGGCGGAAAAACCACCCCGCACCCGCGTAACCCCTCCGCCCCTGCGCAGCCCCGCGCCCGCCCCGCTCCCCCTCCCCCCCTTTCCCAGCACCCCCCCCACTATAAAAAAATATTAAATATCTCTTTTTTTTGTTTTTTTTCCCAAATTTAATTAACGCAGCGTTTTCTCCCGGGTCATTTTCTCCGGGGATGCTGCTCCAGCACCCTCCCCCCCACACCTTTTTCTTTTTCCCACATTATTCCTGCCAATTGGAAGATTTGGGGGGGAGGGAGGTGTGGGGGTGGATGGGGGAGCTCCCCCCCCGGCCCCACTTTCGTGCGGGGACCCCTTCCACCGCCGCACTGCCCGCACCCGTCATTAAAACTTCTTTTTACCCCGTTAATCCATTAAAACTTATTTTTACCCCGGTAATATTTTGTGCTTAACTCCCGAGCAGAGCTCGCTGCACTTTATTATAGATATTTTACACTCTCGAAGTCTTTTAATTAGAAAGAGCATAACAAGCCATATTTGCTTGCAACAACTTAACAAATAAAAGGCCTGTAGCTGCAACTGTGAAGGAGCTATATTATTGTTTTTATGGGGCCATAAAAAGTCGCTCAGCCTGTTCTGCTAGGGAGAAGGTCGTAAAGATGGTTCAGTTTATTTAATTTATATCTCCGAGCTGTAAAACTTACCACTGTGGGAGTTCATACGCTGCATCCATGGGTATATTTGAATGCTAGTTTTTTGTTCTTGCGAAGTGTTCCTGTTTTGGTCACTGGTAAAATCCTGTGCGATTGATGTCTGTGTATTATGTCCCATAGAATTTTGCCTGCAGCTAGAAAGCATGTCTTTTTCTTGGTAAAAAGCATTAGATCCATAGTCATAAGGTCCTCGGCTGGAGCTAAACACAACATTATCTTGCGGTGAATAAAAAGGAGAAGAATAAATCCGGTTTTGAGCAACGGCTGCTCCATAAGTAGAAAAATGCCTGACAGGGTCATAGGCAGTTGAATTGAGGGCTACGTTGGGAAGCACCTCTTGGCCACTGGTTAGATGGCAGGATAAAGATGGGTTTGTAAAATAGGAATTCATATCGTCCTCTACACCTGGCTGTGTGATTTCTTTAATATTTATTTCTGTCTCCAGTTTGTAGTCTGAACTAGATTGTTATAGGGAAGGCTCTGCTCCAGGACAGACAAAATGACAAAGTCAGCTGACCCGGGGGGAGCCAATGGGGAGGCGGGTGTCAAAAAGGGAAAAAATTGCTTTTGCTTCTGTTGATTCCCTAGTTGAAACTAAGTGGGCATGGAAAGTAAGTCCTGCACCCCCAAACCCCCCCCAGCACCCCCGGGGCGCCGGGGGTTGGGGAGGATGCGGTGGGGAGGGGAGCGCTCCTGGGCTGGGGATCCTGCTTGGGGCTGAAGGGGGGGAAAAAGGAGGGGGGGTGGGGGGCAAATTTCTTAAGCTAGGCTTAACTTTTCCCTCCCCCCCCCCTTTTCTCCTTCACCCCCCTTTTCTGCTAATGGTCACTGAGGTTTGGAAGCACCGTCTGTGTGCCTGAGCGTTCTGGGGCTTGCGCTTTGGGGTTGTGGTGCGTGTGGTGGTGGTGGTGTTGTGTTGGGTGGGTTGTTTTAAGCAATGTTTGCTTAATATCTTGTAATAAAATAGCTCAGAATTCACAGTAATAAATCTCAGATGTCCACAGAATATTAAGCCATAAATTACCCTCTGGGTTGTTTTGGGTTGTTGTTTTGTTTTTTGTTTTTTTTTCTCCTTCTTCTTGTTCTCATGTAGCATTGGTCAATATTATGGAATCAAACGGTTGTGTTCCTGATGAGAAAATATTCCATAAAGAGAGGGGGGAAAACATGGCGACTTCTGAATTGATAACGTGTTTCAGAGCCTTCCCAAAGTGTGTCTTGGGGAGGGGAGAGGGGGGGGGGGGAAAGAAAGACATCCAGCAAAGCAACACCCAACACTGCAAACTCACGTTTAGCCTGGAAGTTAGATTTCTCCTCGAGTTTGACATTTCTCCCCTCAAACGTTTCCCTGTTCATTCTCAAAGCTGGAGGGTATTTACATTTTCAACTACAACAGCAGCAAAAAAAAAAAAAATACACCAAAAGAGGAATAAATGCAATAAAAAAAAATAACCAGAGCGTTTCTGTTTGGAATGGGGAGCCTGGGCTGGGGACGCAACCTCGTGTTGGTGTTTGCAGCAATTTATAGTTGCAGATATTTACAACTGATTGGGAAACTTCTCCTGCAAATATTTAGTTAGATGAAAGGGAGGATTCCACCCTATCTTCTCCTGGTAGATTGCACCTAGACCTAATTGAAATGAAGACAGCTAATCTAATTTTAATTTCAATCCAGAGCCATAAATTGCCCCTTAAATGTAAAACATACCTGCTGATCTGTAAATATTGCGAGGTATCTTTATCATTCTGGTGGCTTGCTATTTAAAAATGCAATTATGGCAGGGAAACCCTGGCCTCCTCTCTGTTGTTGCTGGGGGTTTTCTTTCAACCTCCATCGTGTCCACGTTTTCATTTTAAGCGGGGGGCTGGGGAGAGGAAGGTTTGTGGGTGCACACTCCAATTCAAACCTGGGAGTTATTTGTGTGTCTTCCTCTCAATCAATAGCCTTAATTCCTTTGATTTTTTTTTCCCCCTTTTCTTTTAGCGATGTATCCCTAAAAGATTTTAGCTGACAAAGAAGGGTTGGGGGGCGGTGGGTGTATATTTTTTTCCCCAGCTATAACAGGAACCCGGATGCCAACGGATTTTATGCTCTTTTTCCTCTGTGTAACAAAGCAAAGTAATCAATGGTAGCAATAAAACCATAAACGAGACTACAACTGAAAAAAAAAAAGCTCGTGTATTCATCTTCTATAACGTTAAGGCTTCCCCTGAGTGTCACTAGGGGAAAAAAATAAAGTTTCGAACCAAAAAAGGGGAGAGCTGGAAGTGTGCACCATCTTCTTTAGCATGGGGAGCTCGCTGGCTCCCACCTAGGGCTGCCCAACCTGGAGCAGGCACAAGACTCATCTGCATGGGGGGAGATTTACAGGCGGTTCCCCCTCCCCAAAAAGCGAACTTCAGTTTGCTTTCGTTTCCCTTTTCTCCTTCTCCTCTTTCCCAAGAACCCGCCCGGGCATTTCTGGAGTCAAAGAAAGGCGAAAATAAAGAAACTAAGAAAGAAATGTGATTACTGGGGGGGATTATTATGGCTATTTTGATTTTTTACTGCTTTCTGCTGAGATGTGAAACCCCCACCCGGTGAAGGGGGGGGGGACACAGAGCTGGGGAGCAAAGGGGCTGCTGTAAATACAAGTAGCCATGGGCACCTCTCCTCTGAGCCCAAGCCCTTTCAGAGCTGGGTTTCTTTGGAAACCACTGACCAGGCAGGCTCCTTCCAGATATTAAATTGTTGCAAAGGTCCAACAAATGGGCTGGAGGCAGAGGAGAATGGATGAGGGCTCTACAGTTATTGGCGTGTTGTCTTACCTTATGTATTGCTTACAGCCCGATGTAATTTGGCGAGTAAATTAAAAGGAGCTACAGCTGGATGGGTTGGACCTTTGGCTGGGGGGAGTTGTACCTATGGAAGGGTATTGATACCCTCGCCAAAGTTTGGAGGAGTCCCTGGAGGAGTTCCTTTGGGGGGGGGGGGGGGGGGGAGTTTTTTCTTTTTATTTCTCATTTTTATTTTTTATTATTATTTTTTTGCCCCCCCCCCCCCTTTTTTTTTCTTTTCTATTTTGTGTAGGTGCTCGGGGCTGTTGTATCGAGAGACCTGTGTGATAACCGTGTGACTAGGAGTCGAGAAAGTTAAGTGTTTTATTACTTCTCTAAACAGAGGGCAAGTCTTAAAAGTCTGGTCGATTTATAGTGAACAGAAACCAGCTGCCGTAAAGAAACTTAAAATAGAATCCTCTCCCCACGCTAAAACCCAGGTTTCTGGGGAGAAAAGGCAGAGAGAGAAGAGGAGGGGGCTGAAAAACAAAAATAGAGCAGAACCACCCCAAATACAAATGAGGCATCATTAAAGTATGTTTTCCTCATTGCCTCACGTTTTGAATGCACTGGATCTGTATTATTTTTTCCCCCCATTGATATTTTCTAGCAGTTTGGGGATTTCTCGAAAGTATTTCATCAAGCTGTGTCACTACCAAAAAGGTATTTATTTTCTCCCCCATGAAAACATGGAGAGGGAATATGTGGGGCGCTTTCTGGTTAAATTGGTCTGCAAACAATTATGTAAACTCATCAGCAGAAGCAAGAACAGATGTTTTATTAAAAGTGCTACACAGCAGTAGAAATATGTACAAGTCTTCGAGTAGCTCTTTAATAGGAGTTGCTCTTTGTTCCCAGAAAAGAAAAGCGCCCATAGAAATCCGAAATAACATTCACCACTCATAAGCTATATTCTTCCCCCTCCCTCTTCTTTTTCTTCCCTCTCCCCCCACTGATGCTCACACAGAGAAAAAGGGGGGGGGGGGGGGGGGCGGAGAATAAAATAGAAAGAAAAACGTGTCGGGAGATTTCCTTCCCCCCCCCCGTTCCCAGCTATAATTTGCGAATTGATGAACTGATTTAGGGGAAGAAGAGGAAAAAAAAAAGGGGGGTTAAGAAAAAAAAAAGCGATCCCAACACATGTGTTTTCTATCCCTCAGTAATTACTGAAAGGAAACAAATCCAAATCAGTGTGTGTGTCCCCCCCCCTTTCCCTCCCTCCCTGAACCGCCTGCAGACACCGCTACTGGCAGCGGGGGGGGGGTGTGTGTATGTGTGTGGGGGGAGCCTCTTTTCTTCCCTTCCCAGCCACGTTGCCCACTCGGGGCTGATCCCTGCGTGGGGCAAGCGATGGGGCTCCACACACCCCCTCCCCACACGCGTGTCATAGTAGGGGGGTGGGAGGTGCTCACCCGTTCAGGGGTATGGATCCATTACCCCCCCCCCCCTTAAAAATTCCAATTATTTAAGCAGGATGAGTGGGTTTTGCTGTAAACTGTCGCAAAAACGCATCTTTGGCAATGCACTGAAGGGGGAACACCCTTAATCTTGACCCCCCCACCCCTAAAATACCCACACCTATGCGTGTGCAAGGCCCATGCACACACACACATGCATACACACATACACATCCCCCCATATGGCCCTAGGGCTGCGCGCTCCCATCTGATTAAATCCTCGAAGCTCTTAGAGGTAAATACAAGCGATGCCATTAAAAGCCTTTTTATTTAAACTGATTTCACCTTGTATCTGGGATCTCTGCCTCCCCCCCTCCCTTTTGCCTTCCTTCCCCCCCCCCCCTTTTTTTAACTTGACATTTATGGCACACGTGAGTCCTAATTATTTATTTGGGTCTTTCGCTGGGAATTTATCCCTGCTCTTTACAACAGGGTTTTCCTCCTCAAATATCGCTCTCCTTTTTTTTTTGCTGGAAATAGGGCTTCCAAATGAAAGAAATCCAAAATAAAATAGGGGTAACAACACCCCCCATAAAAAAGGAAAAGAAAGAAAGGGGGGGGGGGGGAAAAAGGGCAACAACAAACTCGTGGTTTATTTACCTCTCCCCAGCCTGAAATGGCTTCGCATTGTTTTGGAGCCGTCGCTATTCTCTGTAATTACAAGCCCGGAGTCAGAGTCTGGGCAGCTCTTAATTAAAAAGAAAAAATAGGAGATGAAATCTCCCTTTCCTCTGGATATTCCTTATCCAGCGCTTCGGAGCCTATTTAAAGTTTGATCCCTTGCTGCAGACACCGCGTGGGGAAGAGGGCGGCCTATTCGGGGAGCTTTATTTGTTGATTAAAAGGCATTTTCCGCAGCGAGATGCACAGGGCCATAATTCGCGACAGCACCCACTTTCCCCCTAGAGCTCCCCAAGAAAAGAGGCTGCAAAAAGCCACAACCAGCTCCTGTTTTGCGATTTTTTTTTGCTATCCCCCCAACGCAAACCGCAGCAACCCCCTTTTTTTCGCCTAGGTGAATAAAGAAGAGTATTAACCACCCCGTGCACCGCCCGTAGGGTTGCCCAGACGAGTCATTCCTTCGCCTTTTCCTATTGTTGTTGTTTTTTTTTTTCTTAGCTTTTCTTTTTTTCCCTTTCTTTCTATTTCTTTTTTTTTTTTTTTTTCCCCAGCGTGTTGAAGGGAAATGGCCTTAAACGTGTTCTTGTTGCCTCGATTTTATTCCCCGAGTTGCTTTGGGGAAAGTGCACCAAAAGTTCAGGGCGACTCCCTTCAAGTTGCCAACGCTTAAGAAAAAGAGAATATAATAATGATAATAAAGGGGGGAGGGAAAACAAAAATAAAGGGGGGGTTTCTCGCTTGCGAAGCCTCTCCATTGCTGCGCACGTTTGCAGGGCTTGGAAGGGTGGAAAAAAAAAGAGAGAATTCTGGCAATTGTCAAAACACATGTCTGCTAACCAGGAAACCGGGAGGTGTGTGGGGAAGAGAAATTAATCTGTTCCTACTTCTGAAATGTATCCCTCTTCTTTCTGCCCAGGCTTGAAAGCGCTTTTTGACCCTTTCAAGCGTTTATTTGCGTTATTTCCCCCCCCTTCGCGTTTACATCGCGAGGAGTGGAGGGGTTTCATCCCCAAATATTCTTGTTTTTTAATGGAGTGGGGTGGTGGGGGGGGGTGGGGGGGGTGATTTATTTCATGATTTTTCTCCTTCCCAGATTTATTGGCGAATCTCAGCCCAACAAAAGAAGGCAGCACCGAAATCTCCCCGCCGAAACGGGACTTCGCTGGGTCTTAAATTACCAAGTAACCACGTTGCAAAAAGTTAACAGCAGCGGGGGAAAAAAGCCGGGGGAGAACCCTCTGGCCCCCCTTGCCCCGCAACACCGCCTCGATTCTGTTTAATTCTCTGATTAAATGCACTTCGGAATAAATCTCCTCAGGGCTGGGAAGGGAAACCCCCCAAAAAACCGAGGAAAATAAGACTAAAAATCATATTTTAAGGGGATGCAGACCCGCGGAGCGGTGCTTTGTTTATAGGGAGGTGTCTGGCGGCTGCGGAAACATTCCTGGTGGCTCCTTGGTTAAAAGTGGGAATAAATGGGGATTTTTCCTTCAACCGCATTCAGGAAAAGAGCTTTTTCTCCCCTAAAACCTGCTCAGGTAGCAGGTAGCAACTTTCCCTTGGAAAATATGAAAGAAATAAAAATAAATCTCTGCTTTTCCAGCTTTTAATTAATGAATGTGTATATATATATTTTAAAAGTGTTTTTTTTTTTCATGCTGGAGTGAAAATATTCCCAAAAATCCCTAAAATTCAAAAGAAGGGGAAAAAGTGACGCAGGCGCTCATGACGTCATACCCATCACGGACACGACTTCATGGCATAATACGCTAGAAAGTGACGTTTTGCTGCATCCAGGGGCACTTCGGGGGTGGAGGGTCTGTACGTGAAGATACGCGGAGGCGCAATTACTTCTGCGGGGTGTTAGAGATTAAAAATCAAAAGGAGTGGGATGTTATTGCGTTCTGCAAGGGTAACTCAGGAGTGAAGAATTGTTGTCATTAACTAGAGGCAGTTTTATCCTTTATTCGTCGCAGATATGAAGGCAGAAATTTAATCATAGGTAGCTCGGAAAAAAAAATAATTCAGGAAACAATAATAGTTGCCTTAATGATGGTTTTTTTAGAGGCGATCACTTAGGCAGAATTAAACTATATATTTGGAGACAACCTCTGGAGCACTTTGCGGAATTTATACGTTCGCATCGTCTTTAATCGAGCAACAATTTAATGTTTCAGGATTTGCTTAAATACACTCATATTTTCAGGGGGGAAAAGACCGTTCCCGGGTTGATATGCCTTATCTATTTTTATGAGTTCACGTACATTGGGATGATTGAAACCCCGGGAACACGGAACGAAAGGAAATAAAATATGTGTGTATCTATAGAACAAAAACAACCCCCAAACCGCCTTGAATTAGTCGAAAGTGTAAGTGAGGAGTTTCAAACGGCTTCGGGAAAGTTTGGGGCTGGGGAAGGCGGGGTGGTGTGGGGGGGAACACGTCTCAATGTTAAAGGTATTAAAAGTTCTTTGCGAAGTGATTTGGTTTATGGCAGGAGAGGCTTTTGCAGGGCTCCGCACCCCCTTCCTTGGTGGGGGTGTCCTCCTCCCCCCACCTTGGCCCTATACCACTCCTTCCGTCGCAATTACATCCAGACAGAGGGAAAGGAAAAGGGGGGGGGGGGGGGGAGGCACCAAATTGTGAAGAATTGCAAGTTTCTGTCACTTGGTGGCAGTATACAAAACAAGTAAACAAAACCGGGCTGAAATTTAAACACTCCAAGGGGGTGGAAAGGCGAAGGGAAAGGGGGGGCCCCACCTGTGGGACAGACCCCCGGCCCCCCCCTCTCGCCTTGGAGCTTGTTTGACGCGGATCTTAGGGGGGTTTAGGGTGGGTTTTGGGTGGGTTTCAGTGGTTTTTCTTTTCCTTTCGCCTTGCTCCCTGTCTTCCTCCTTCTCCTCCCCCCCCCCCCTTTTTATTTTTCCCCTCCCCGCCCCCCATTGAAACGCGGGGTCTTTAGTCTGGGGACAAAGACTTTTACAGCAAGGTGTGTCCCCCTGCGACAAAAGCGACCCGAGCAGCCTGTCCCCTGCAGACTGCGGCCAGACACCGCAATTTCGGCATTTCTGCTTTTATTGTGTTTGTGTCTGGGGAGGAAAGGGCGAGGGAGAGGAGGGAGGGGGTGAGGGGGAGACGGGGCCGCTTTTCGCCTTCCTCCTCCTCAGCATCTTCCTCCTCTTCACCACCTTCCCCCCCCCCCCATCCGAGGCTGGAGGTCACACCGTTCCCCCCTCGAGCCTAATAAAATCCCCCGCTCAAATTTTAAGGTGCTTCTGTCCCATTTTCCTCCCAAATCCCTCTCTGCACTTCATCTCCCCGCTGCCACCTCAAATCCGATGAGGAAAGGCCTTATATTTTTAATTATTCTTACTACTTTTAGCCCTGACCTCAAACACCACCACTGAAAATTTAGTGTATTTTTTTTTTGTTTCCACCCCTTTTTTTCGCCATTTTTTCCCCCGGAGAGGGCGCGCTGCAGAGATTAACCCCCCGGCAACAATAGTAACACGATCTGCAATTATCCCCAAAATCAAATTCTTAATCCCACAATGTTACGCATCGTCTCCTCCCGAAATATATTTCCCCCTTCTATGACTAATTCTGTTATCTCCTCTCGCCTCTTCCTCTCCTCCACACACCGAGTTCTGCACGTTTATCTCTCGAGGAGAAAAAGAGAAAACTAAAGGAAAAAACCACCCGAAACCCAAACCCTTTTGCTACACAAAGCTCCGGGTAGAAATACAGCACACCCCCCTCCAGTCATATTTACTGGGGAGATAACCACAGGGATCTAGCTTTAAGCATTAGCACCTACCGCCGTGGCGGTTGCCTCTATATATCATATATTATTTCTGGTGGGTTTGGTTAATTCGTTCCCCAAACCGAAATTCCTTGACACGACAAGTTGGGAAATCGCTTCTTTCTAATCATTTCTTTGTAGTTACAGGTTTTTCCAGGCTCTTACAACACGGCCGATTCGCCAGAATAAACCACCCACACGTTCCTGCTCTGTATTTAGATATATTTGATCGGAACACGCTTTTATAGACGAGGAGATAAACGCCCATGCGTGGGGCAGATCGTATCAAACGGGTTCACGGTCGGGAATAAACGTGCGAAATGTGGCCGCGTTCGAAGAAAACGTGAATTTTCCCCTGTTGCATAGATGGTATTTATGTCCTTCCTAGGCTCGTACTCAACACCTCGGAGTAAATCCCCTTCTAAATAAATTAGGAAGCGCTAATTTCATTGAAATTTTCCCGTAGTATCTTGATTTTATTTTGCTTTTTCCTCACCGATCCCATTTGTCCAAAGAAAAGATCTGTTATGTCCTGAAATCCGTGTCAAGAACACGCGGCGCTTTCCCTTTAATCCCCGATACAAACAGCAATTGATTTCCTCTGCTTTAAGCCAGGGTTTAAAAATAATACTAAATAAATCTCGGAGAAGATAAATCATTCTGTTATTCCCGCTCTACATCCTAAAAATGTTTCTCAGCATTATGAGGGTCTGAAGGGTGGCGGTGATGGAAGGGAAAGGAGAAAATCAATAGATTTTAAAGTTGATTTGGGGGGTCCGGGCCTGGCGCTGGAGGTTTAAAGGCGGGAGCCGGGGCTCGGAAAGGGGAAGCAGACGGATTTCAGCCTGAAAACAATAAAAGATCCCATTTCTGTAATCATGTGGTTCCAATAAACACTCATTGTTTGCTCATAAAATGTCTTTACGACTGGCCGCGGTACAGGCAGCGCCTCCACACAACGGGCTCCCGGCGAACAAAACCAAGGCAAACCCGGCTCTTTTCCCCCTTTATCCCCCCCCCCCCCCAAGCACCCCATCCCTGATCCCCTATTTATTACACGCTCGGAAAATGAAAATAAACGGCGGGTCCGCACGTTGTTTCAAATGCAAAACCGGAATAAATCTGTGTATATATATAAAAAAATCCCTTTTCTCCAGTCGATAATTTCCAGCCCCAAAGGCAGGGCAGGGATTTACCAGATTTCTTGAAAGAAAAGGGAAGACAACTTTGGAAACTTGGCTTTCTCTTTTATTTTCCTTCCTCCCCCCCCCCCCGCCCCACATATATATATATTTGTAATTAAATTTAACGCAGCGCCACCGGAAACCACCCCAGAACTTCATCAACAGCGTTCGCTAATTAACCTCTGCCAACGCGCGCTGGAAATTAAAATCGAGGAGGCCATTTTCATTTAAAACCCACCAGAAAACAACCACCACCACCAAAGAAAAAGAGGGGGGGGGGGGGGGAAACAACAAGGCAGAAAATGAGGCCCCCACCTCCAGCATCCCCCTTGCCTCTCCCAAATCCCCCCTCCCGCAGACGGCCACACACTGAGAACCCCCCAAAATCGCTTATAATAAGCCAGAAAATTGCCATCGACTCTGCCACCCCACCCCCACGGGGTTTATTTAACGTCCGTCCCTATATATGTGTACATCCACCCTATACGTGCACAGGCATCACCAGCAGCAAATCTCTGCTCCTACAC